AAACTATATTACAAGGCAATAGCAATAAAAACAGTATGATACTGGCACAAAACAGACATGGAGACCAGTGGAACAGAATTAAGGCCCTGGATATGAATCCACAAAAGCTATCCCCACCTTATTTTAACAAAGGTGCCAAAAACATATGATGGAGAAAAGACAGCCTCTTCAACAAATATTGCTGGGAAAAGTGGTTATCTGCCTGGAAAAAAGTGAAACTAGATCCATGTTTATCACCCTGTACTAGTGTCAACTGAAAGTGGATCAAGGCCCTTAATATCAGACCTAAACTCTGAAGTTAGTACAGGAGAGAGCAGGAAATACTGCAAGGACTTCCTCAATAGAACCCCAGAAGCTTAGGAACTAAGAGAAAGGATAGACGAATGGGACTACATAAAATGTGAAACTTCTGCATAACAAAGGAAATGGTCTCTAAACTTAAGAGACCACTCACAGAGTGGGAGAATATATTTGTCAACTATACATCAGACAAAGGACTGATAACCAGAACATACAGGGAGCTCAAAAAACTAAAATCTCCCAAAATTAATGGACCAATAAAGAAATGGGCAACTGAATTAAACAGAACTTTTTCAAAAGAAGAAATTCAAATGGCCAAAAAACACATGAAAAAATGCTCACCATCTCTGGCCATAAAGGAAATGCAAATCAAAACTACACTAAGATTCCACCTCACCCCTGTTAGAATAGCCATCATCAAAAACACCAACAACAACAGGTGCTGGCAAAGATGTGGGGAAAACAGAACCTTGTACACTGCTGTTGGGAATGCAAGCTGGTGCAACCATTCTGGAAAAAATATGGAGGTTTCTTAAAAAACTAAACATAGACCTGCCATAAGATACAGCAATTCCACTCCTGGGGATATACCCAAAGGAATGCTACTTAGGTTACTCTGGAGGCACCTACACACCCATGTTTATTGCACCACATTCACAATAGCCAAGCTATGGAAACAGCCAAGATGCCCCACTACAGACTGCCCGTGACCTGCTTGGGTATGCTGCATGAACCTAAGAGCTGTGGGGAATGAGAAATAAGACACACACAGACATATAGACATAAAACATAATACAGAAAGCTGGGATTGGGAGGACTGCATGTCCGTGATGGGAAATGTGAGCGCCTACCTGAGCCAGTGTGTTTATTTTATAGGTCAGTACAAGGAAAAGACTTAGGTAAAAATCAAGCTTTAACAATTCTTGGTGCAAGGTAAAAAGGATGAGGTTTGGTGGGCTAATTTTCCTAAGCCTAATGAAGCTTAGTCACAACACATCAGTTCTGGAATCAAGGCTAGCAGGACACCTTATCTAAGGTATTGATTAATCTGGCATCAGGGAGTCTCCTAACAGTTCTGGTACTTTATCTAGTTTTGCATCAGGGGGCTGGTATGTGGACACAGCAAGTTGTATTCTTCAAGGAGATACAAGAACAAAGGTCAAGACACCAGGTACTGGGAAAAAGATGGTAGAAGAGTCTGTGCAAACTTCTACCATGGAGAGCCTGTGCAAACTCCATTATATCCCAGTCCAGGGTTCATGCCTAGTCCCAAACAATTGACAAATGGATTAAGAAAATGTGGTATTTATACACAGTGGAATTTTACTCAGCCATGAAGAAGAATAAAACCTTATTATTTGCAAGTAAATGGATGGAACTAGAGAACATCATCCTGAACGAGGTTAGTCAGGCTCAGAAGACCAAAAATCGTAAGTTCTCTCTCATATGCGGACTTTAGATCTAGGGCAAATGCAGTAATGTTGTAGGATTTGGGTCACACACTAAGGGGAGAGCACATACCGGAGGTATGTGGATAGGTAGGAAACCCAAAACATGAAAGGTTTGATGTCCCCACAGCAGAGGAGCTAATATAGTAACCTTAAAACAACAGAGGCCAATATGGGAAGGTGACTGGGAAGTAGTGAAGAGGTCAGGTAGAGATGAATCAATTCGGGTTGTAATACACTTGTAAATGGAAGCAATGCTAGGATTCTCTCTGTATAGCTATCCTTATCTCAACTAGCAAAAACTCTAGGTCTTTCTTATTATTGCTCATGTCTTCTCCAGGTTCTGCCTGGAAGTGAGGGCTGTTGTGGGGAGAGGAAGGGGGAAGGAGGCAGGTGGGAGAAATGGCCCAAAAAATGTATGCATATATGAATAAATGAATAAAGAAAAAAAGTCTTCCACTACCACTGTGTTGGAGTTTATATGTGGTCTTAAATCCTTTAGTGTATATTTAATGAAGTTGGGTGCTTATAGGTTTATAATTGCTATTTCCTTTTGATGTATTGCTCCTTTTATTAGCATGAAGTGACCTTCTTTGTCTCACTTGAATAATATAAGTTTGAAGTCTACTTTGTCTGATATAAGTATTGCTACTCCTGCTTGTTTTGGGGGGCCATTAGCTTGATAAATCTTCTTCCAGCCTTTCACCCTAAGCCAGTGTTTATTTCTGTCAATAAGATGGGTCTCTTGTAAATAATAGATTGTCAGATCTTCCATTTTAATCCATTTTTTGCCAAATGGTGCCTTTTGATGGGGGAGTTGAGTTCATTGACATTCAGTGTTAAAACTGATGTTTTTGTATTGAATCCTGCCATTTAGTTGTTTAAGAATTTGAATGTGTGCAGCCAAATCAATGTTCTGCTGTGATTACTTGTCTTTTCTTCTGAAGTTTAATACTTTCCATCCTCTCATGATTTTGTTTGTTTTCATCTTCTGTGTGTAGAATTCCTTGCAGAATCTTCTGTAGTGGTGGCTTGGTGGTCATATATTGCTTTAGAATCTATTTATCATGGAAGACTCTTATTCCTTCATCAGTTTTGAATGATAGTTTTGCTGAGTAGAGTATCCTAGGACTGAAATTGTATGCCTCATTCCATGCTCTTCTTCTTTTTAAGGTTTCTGTTGAGAAATCTTCATTTTGATGGGTTTACTTTTATATATTATTAATTTTTCTTTCTTTCTGTTTTCAATATTCTTTCTCTGTCCTCTGTGCTAGCTGCTTTAACAATAATATGCTGTGGAGTGGTTCTATCTTGGACATCTGTTTGGTGTCCTGGAGGCTTCCTATACCTGAATGGGCACTCTTTCTCAAGATTTGGGAAATTTTCTGCTCTAATTTTGTTGATTATATTACATATCCCTTTGGCTTGCACCTCTCCTCCTTCTTCAATGCCCATGATTCTCAAGTTAGGTCTTTTGGTAGTGTCACAGCTCTTCTGTTGTTTTGACTATGAGTTTTTATGCTTTTTTTCCTTAATATCTATTTTGTATTTGAGCTCTGAGATTCTGTCTTCCACTTGTTCTAGTCTGCTGTAGTGAACTTCTACTGTATTTTTTATTTGACTAAAGGGAATTTTTATTTCCAGGATTTCTGTTTGATTCTTTTTTCTGAGTTTTCCCATATGTTTGTTCAACTCTTCTTTCATATCTTGTGTTGTCTTCTTTATTTCATATTTCTCTTTTTTTGTAGTCTCCTTCGGTTGACTTTGGAGTTTGTTGAAGTCCTCTGAGTTCAGTAAGTTGTTTCTGTATCTTCTCAAGTTTTTTATTTGTGGTGTCTTGATATTTTTTGAGTGTATCTTGTACATTCTAGTTAACCATATCTTAAAGCTTTCCCATGAGTTTCTCATTGATCTCGTCCATGATTTCCACTTTCCAGATTTTTTTGTGGGCATCACTGAGCTCATTAATGATATTTATCATTGTTTTGTTGGAGTGAGGAACTGGGTATCATTTTCTTCATTTCCCACTAAATCCTCTATTAAATTGTTTTTTTGAGGAGTGCATTTTCCTTGCCTTCTTCTCCCCATTGTTCTAAGTGGGGCTGTGCAACTGTTCTTTCCCTTGATTTAATTTTTGTGTTGTGAATGGCTTAGTTATTACCTAGGTTGATGTGTTATTTCTGTCCCTGGCCTTGAAGTGTAAATTAGCAATAACAAATTCACAGGTCATACCAGCTCTTTACATATTGTACAGCAAACACCTTTGTTATAATATCTATAGACAATGGGAGTTGGGGAAAAAATGGTTGTTTGGCTAGAGAGAAAAACTTGGGTAATTGGTAAAGGTGGTGCTTATATGGGGGACAGAAAGGGATGGTAAGTGGGGAAAGAGGATAGGGGAGTGCTGGGTTTGGGGCCCATGTGTTTGGGTGTATTTCCACTGTTGTAGTGGAGGATGCTTGCATCAGGGATTGCAGAGGACTGGGCTTGTGTAGGTTTCTACAATAGGCTAGTCAGTGGATGATAAATGTGTAAGAGGGAGGGGTCATGTGGTGACAGTTTGGGGAGGCTGAGGAGGGTGAGGCAAAGACGGAGGAGGAGAATGGATGAGATAGGGCAGAAATAATAGTTTGGGGGAAGAACAATGATTGTAGCACAAGAAATGGAGTAAATATGAACAGGGTAAGAATAGGAATAAGAAACTAGCAGTGGTAAAATTAATAATGCTAAAAAAAATTAAATAAAAGCCAGCTACAACAGCAACAAAAAGTTCAGTCAGCTCAGCAAGTGTTCTGGACTTGTTTCTTTGGCATCCAATCCTGGTATTGGAGCTTGATATTCTGGGCTATGTGGGGAAGGGTGCTGCCCCTCTTATTGGACAGCTTCAGGGGGAGTCAGCTGTAGGTTTTTTCCCCCCCCACTTTCCTTGGTCTTATGAGCCATCTGTTATAAGCAGGAGCTCTGAAATAGTCTCAGCAGATGGCTGGCTGATGAGCAATATTTGGTTCCTTCTGTCCACAGTGCAGTTTGCAATTGGGACCTGTGGTAGCTCACTATGTGTTTGTGCAAGGTGGTCCTATCTTCTGTTGTTTTCACCAGGTGGCAGCTGTATTGCACTACCACTGAAACTGTCTGGTCAGCTCCTTCCCCAGCATGATGGGGCAATTCAGTTTTTTTGTTTTTTTTAGGTTTTTGGGTTTTTTTTTTTTTGTAGTTTTATAACTTTATTTCCACTCAGCTGTTAGTTCTCATTCACATTGACTGCAAATTTTTGAATGTGGTAACATGAACATAGGTCACCAAAGTATAGAGCTTGTTTGGTGAGTCTTCATCCTCATTACCTTTTTCTGGATAACCACATACAGATAGGATATGGGACATTACTTATTCCTTTGGCCCAGACAGTTTTGTTGAGCCTGGTATCAATGTGCACATCTGGAGTCCCCATCTCCTTCACAGCAAATTTCCAGATCTCTTTGAGTGCCCAAGGGGCACGCTTCTTTTTTTTTTTTTTTTTTTCATTTTCTTTTATTATTTATATGTGCATACAAGGCTTGGTTCATTTCTCCCCCCTGCCCCCACCCCCTCCCTTACCACCCACTCTGCCCCCTCCCTCTCCCCCCCCTCAATACCCAGCAGAAACTATTTTGCCCTTATCTCTAATTTTGTTGTAGAGAGAGTATAAGCAATAATAGGAAGGAACAAGGGGTTTTGCTGGTTGAGATAAGGATAGCTATACAGGGCATTGACTCACATTGATATCCTGTGCATGTGTGTTACCTTCTAGGTTAATTCTTCTTGATCTAACCTTTTCTCTAGTTCCTGGTCCCCTTCTCCTATTGGCCTCAGTTGCTTTAAAGTATCTGCTTTAGTTTCTCTGCGTTGAGGGCAACAAATGCTAGCTAATGTTTTAGGTGTCTTACCTATCCTCACCCCTCCCTTGTGTGCTCTCACTTTTATCATGTGCTCATAGTCCAATCCCCTTGTTGTGTTTGCCTTTGATCTAATGTCCACATATGAGGGAGAACATACGATTTTTGGTCTTTTGGGCCAGGCTAACCTCACTCAGAATGATGTTCTCCAATTCCATCCATTTACCAGAGAATGATAACATTTCATTCTTCTTCATGGCTGCATAAAATTCCATTGTGTATAGATACCACATTTTCTTAATCCATTCGTCAGTGGTGGGGCATCTTGGCTGTTTCCATAACTTGGCTATTGTGAATAGTGAGGGGCACGCTTCTTAAAGCCCACTCCATGGATCCGCTTGCATTCTTGGGTCACCACTTCCTTGATGGCAGAACGGCCCTTCTTCTTCTCTCCACCTTTCTTTGCAGGAGCCAGTCTGCAGGTCCCAAGATGGAAAGGACAATTCAGTTTTGAGTACCACCCTCAGTTGGCATGAAACTAGCTCAGGGATCCTCCATGCTCCCACTTTGGGAGGTTGGCTTGTCTTTCCACCCCCACTCTCAGTGGTTGTTCTTGCCCCATCTCCACTTGCTGAGAATGTGGCTCATTGCCCCACCCTTGATCTCCAAGGTTGGTTCAGAGCTGCACCCCAACCCCCCACTGTCAGTGGTAGATTACAATTCACTGCTTTTGTCTCTCAGTTTTGTTTGGAGGGGGGGTTCGATCTGCCCAGGGTTTGCACTGGATTATGTTCCCCGAGAGTGTGGTTCTCACCTGTTGGGTCTTTAGATTTATTCAGGCAGCTTTTAAACCAACTGGTGGAAGAAATGGTGTGGCACTTTTCTCAAGACACTTACTGGGACTGGGTTCAACCCAGTGGGATCTAAGTAGGCTTCCATGCGTTAGGGGTCCTGTATATCACAGGGTTCTGTTCTGTTTGATGCTCTATCGTCTGCTTTTTAAAAAAAAAGAAAGAAAGAAAGAAAAGGGAGAAATGGCCAGGGGAATTTTTCCCAGGCAGACATACTCTATTAACTGTTCCATGATGGGATTTTTCTGGCTGTTAGGTGTAATTAAAAGTTTTAAGAATTATTCCTTAAATTTTATGTGCACCTAATGTGTTGGCAGTTGTTATTTTGGTGAGAAACAATTAGAATTACCCAAGTGTAGTTCCCACATTTTGAGGTGGTTTCTGAAATCACAGAGCTCAAGAATTCTGATTCCTTATCCTATCTGACATTTTGGATACCCACATGATTTTTATAAAGACCTAATCTTTTAAAATAAGTGAAGACATAACAATAGATCTATAAATTATAATGCTGAAAATACTGATGAATAACAAGTAGAAGTATTTTTATTCAGCATTCACATATAGTAATACTTTCCTAGATTTGATTAAAATACATTATAAAGTTAGCAAAAAGGGGATTGAATTATTTTAATAATTCTGCCTTTCAGTGTTAATACATATTTTATCCAGTTACATTTAAAATATTTAGTGAATAATAATTTACATGTAATAACTGAGAGTTAACACCCTTATACATAAGTTCCCAACATGCATCATCAAGAACTAAATGAGTTTGCGTGGCTGGTATGTGGGGGGAGTGGGGAGAAGAGTGGAAAAGAGAACTTAAAGATGAAGATAAACAAAAGTCATTTTAATAGGAAAATTTCATCTCATTTCCCTTGCAAAGTTCATTATGTTACCCAAGAAAATATCAAGAAAAGAAATTGAGATTGCATAAGAAGAATGAGTAGGAAATCTGTGCATTTGCCAGAAATGGCAATGAACTGCATTACATTTTAGGCACAACCTATTCCTATGTATCTTGTGACATTTCTTCTGGGGGATTCTTTGATTTTTGTCAAAAGCTGTTCCATCATAGTTTTTCCTCTAGTTAAACTCCTAAATCTCTAACATTGGTCATTTAATTTTCCTTCTATTTAGAGCATGTCATATATTCTTTCAACTACTAATTTCATTACATATTAAATTCTGAAAATTTACTGCAGATGAGACATTGGGGATACAATGATGAACAAGAACTTTTGATGTGTGGCTTTACAGTTTGAGTTGGGAGGAAAAGAATATAGTCCTAAGAGACATAATACCAAATGTAATAAAGTCTTCATAGAATTTACTACATTTTTACTGCCTAGCATAGAAGTTCTGGTAGTTTTTAACCAAGCAGTCTGACTTAGTCTGATGCATCAAGACTTCCTCAGCATGGATCATTATGCTGAATCCTGACTAAGAAGAATATGTTAATCAAAAGTAACTCATGATGAGCATGAAGAGGGGAGAATGTATCGAGAGCTTGGGAGGAGAAAAAATCAGTATGCTCAACAAAATGAAACTCTTAATGGCCAGAGCAAAGAAGAGGAAGAAAGTGGATATTGTGAAATAAGTAAGGACAGATATAGAGGCAGAACTTGAAAAAATGAGGAACATTGCAAGTTTTGCTAAGAATCCAGCTAAAAGACATCAGCAAGCAATCATACCAAGTTTTTAAGTAAGAAACTACTATGATCAGGTATACATATTTAACAAATAATTCTCAACACAATGAGAGAACTGAATGGACTGGATAGAAGAGGCAGATTCAGGGAGACCAGTTAAGTGGCTGCTAGTAGTTTAAGAAGAGTTTTGTGGCTTGAACAAGGTCTGTGGTAATGAAGACACAAGGAAGAGAATAGATATGTGATACATTTACAAGCCAAATAGATGAAATTAAAAGAAAGAGTCCACGAATGTTCAGATGCAGCAATGCTGAGTTTTATATACTTGTGAAACTGAGTATGTTTTATGGACATTTGAATGTGTATTCTGAAGCTCAGGAAATAGAATTGGGGAAAAGACAGATTAATTTGAGATAAATGTTCCAGAGATGTTAATGGAAGTATCTGAAGTGAGTAAGAACTTCTAGAATAAGAAGAGAAAAAGCATAAGAGCCATGATGGACTTTGCTATATAAGGGTTGGCTATAAGAAGAAAAGCTAAGAAAAGAGTGCAAAAAGGGAGAAGTAAGAGAAAAGTCAAGCTTGTACTATCATGCAAGAGGCAACTTAGAAGGGCTTGTGGAATGGTTCAATTGGTAGAACACCTGCCTGAGAAGCATGAGGCCCTGAGTTCAAACCCCCAAACTACCAAAAAAAACAAAAACAAAAAGAGGTAACTTAGAGAAGAAAACAATAGCAAACAGCATTATAAAATTGACAAATAATAACACTTTTAAATATTCCACACTGTATTCTGTGCTGCCCCAAGTATTCATGTCATGTCACACATTGCAGGGGATAATATTTGTGTGGCACACTTCACCAAAAAAAATCAGACTAGGCACAGCAAGGTTTGAGTGAGAAGGCAAAGGAACTTTTGATTCCTGCATATCACCGAGGAATTCAGTGTTCCACCACACTTTGCCACCAAGTGAGATTTGTTCTTCATTGGTGCTAACTGAAAACAGGGCAAAAATCTGTATTCCTGTTTGATCTTCAGAAAAATCTAATACAGCACCCTGTTTCAATTGCCTCCTTGTGGAGGCAATCTTTATGTGATAGACAAATTTCCATCTTTGGGTTATGGGGTAGATGAACACATGACACACACCCCAGGATAAATGAGGGTGACAATAGTTTATCAGTCCTGCATGCTCATCTGCTGGAGAAAGTAGATCCACGTACTATTCAGGGACACATGTGAATTTTACCAGGAGCTGCAGGAGAGAGGCTTTATAGTATCAAGAGTGAGGTGACACTTGATTCCCACAGGAGAATGTTCTTGGCTTGTTTGAAGAGTTTGGTGATCTGGCAGGGAAACTAAAGACCATACTCAGAGATAAACAGGAGCTGACCTTGGTCCTTGTGATCAGGAGGGTTATTTAGGTAGACCCAATCCACAGCAGCAGTGTAAGGAAGGGAATATATGGTCAGGCCACTCAAGTGCCTCCCAGTTTTTCCCATATACCAAGGAATACATAACAACAGGCCCAATTTGTAGGCCTTTTATTACACTCCTAGTAAAACTCCAAGAAGAAAACTTTAACAACAAGGATTTGATCTCTGAATATTCTCTCTGATTTATTGCTCAATCAATCACCAATTCCTGTGACCGTAAGAGTCCCTTCAAGCACCTCACAGCCACTTACCAATGAGAAAAAAAAGTCTTAGGATTAATTGTATATTTTCCATAATACGGAAGGATGTTTTGAGCTGGACCTTATAGGCTTGATTCTTAACATGCTGAAAGAGAAGATAGATTTAGAAAATCCTCTCTGGAGATGGACATCTGTCTTAATGGTTTTTGATCTAGATGAAGAGGTCAAGTGCCCATCAGCCCTTGCTCTGGGAATGCAAGCACCTCAATTTATACTGGAATGAGGACTTGGCAGAACAGACTTTGGTGAGGATTAGAGTACATTTATTTAATATTTGTCAGTTTATCATCTCATATATCTTATCTTAAGAGTCTCTAATCTATCCATAAGGTTTGAATACTCTACATACAAAAACAATATGCACTTTTATATAGCAAAACAATGGCTTTTAAAAAAGATTTCTGTAGTCTTGGACTTTTTTTCCCTTTGATTTATTTTCAAGATTTGTACTTAACTGACTGTGATAACAGCTGTGCTACCTTCAGAATTAAATAGTGTAAGAAAGGTAGAAAAGTGAATGCTGGGGAGTGGTAGGATGTCAGGCGAGATGCAGATGTGGAGAAAAGGAATTCAGATTGGGGCATAGCCATAGTGAAGTGCTATGAGACAGTAAAGAAATGGCCCTGTCTGTAGTTCAGAGAAGGGAAAAGGTTTCAAAGCCAACAGTAGTGGATAGTAGTAAAACTCACATGAACAAACAAGATTTCTCTTGAGAACACACACAAGAAGAAAGTCCAAAGCCTTAAGAACATGAGAGTTGATTCCTTTAGCCTGTGCAAATACTTTAATATTAACATTGAGATTTTCCAGGGAAAATCTGAGAAGGTAATCTTCTTGGTCTCTGGAGTCATGTGGTTTGTCCATGTGTCCTTGCTGTGATGTTAGATCTCTGTCACCATCAGTCTGGAGCTTACTGGAGAAAACTTTGTATTTTATTGTATGTCTCCAACCTAGTATGTTAACAACCTTCCCATAGGGTTCTTCTCTGGCTACACAATCCATTGCCTCTCACCCAAATCATATCTCTACTTTGAGATTGAATTGTGGGTGAAAGTAGGGATATATTTCCAGGATATTCATTTTAAAAGTTTTACTTAGTACTGATATCTATAGTCTCAAGAATCTGTCTATCTCCCAGACACATATGAAGAGTATCTGGGATAGTTTTGCTTCCAAGTTGAGTATTTTATGCCTCCATGGTCTACAGGAAAGTCTAACTGTTAATTATACGTTTAAAATCACCAGGGAGAGAAATATGTTCTTTCTCAGTGTCTTAAAAAATGTGCACTGCCAACTGGAGTATTAAAATGACATTTTCCAATTTTGTTCTCTACTTCATATTTGTAATATTTGCACAGAACTTCAAACATTCTGTAGTTCTAAGATCCAATTTATAATGGCACTGCAGAAATTCATGGGTAGTCCCATGTGACTCATAAAGGAAAGGGAACAAGCAATAGTTTCACTATGTGCTTTGTTTTGAACATGTTAACTAAACATTACAAGAGCAGATTAGAAAAGCAATCACTTTATTTAGTTGAGTAATTACGTATTTGAATCCCTAAAGATCAGTTATTGTAACATGAACCAAATTTCCACTGAGAGCCTTAAATGAGTCAATAAAAGGTCATGTTTATATATGTTAGAAACACTTGAAAGAATAATATTAACACTGACTCCTGGGCTGTGCCCACATTTACCCAGTGGAAGGTATTTCCCTAGGGAATATGCTGCTTTCGACATTGGTGTTCTCCTAAACATAGAGCAGATTTGGCTATTGAAAATCTCTTTCGATATATTTGGATTACATAGTATTAAAGAGAAACCAGTGTTAAATTCATGATGCAGAAGGAGGTGTGTTTGGTGTCATGCTGTTGATATTGACTATTAAACTCCTAATGCCTCCAAAGCCTGTTATTGCTGACATACGTTTCCTGATTTTTTTACTTTTTTTTTTTAATCTGGCAAAGTAGAGATTAACAAGAGAGAAGATTACTCACAATTCTTTTCAGTCCATTCTTAGCTGATAATTGATTCATGAAGTTATGCAAAATTACTATGCACTTTGAGATTATTAAAGAATAAGGAGATTAATTTCTTAGGAATATTCTAGATCACTATGTAAATTATGATCTATATTAAGACTAGATTCATAATCTCAGAATACGTCTAAGTTAATAATCAAAAGGTATGTCACATGAGTTAAGCATTTTAAAAGTCAAAAGTGAAAATAGAAAAGAAAAATAAAGCCCTCCACTTAAAAATATGATATAAAACCTGTACCTTTTCATTTTTAATAAGCATCTGATAACATATCCAAAAAATTAATGTGTCTGTTGTGGAACTCTCAGGATTATTAAAACTTTTCCCATCATTGTTTTTTTAAGAAGCACTAAAGACTTTACTTATTTGAAATTATTTATTTCAGAGTTATGTTTTATCATTAAAAAAATTAAGTCACAGAGCTCTTTGCTTTGTACCTATCAGATTTGGGGAGTGATTTCTAGGATTTAGGACGTAAGATTAAATGACCATTTTTAAATCTAAGATGACAATACACTTTTACTATGATTTCCAACATTTGAAAAAATGTTTTGGATATATTTGTGTATGCAAAACATATAATATATACATATATATTCATAAATATAGGTCAAAATAATGTCATCACACTCTAGAAATAACTTTAAAAAGCCAAAGAAAACCTTTTTTGATTAACACTAAAGTCGAAGTTGCCAGATTGGTGAAAAATATTATGTTTGAGACCAGATTATGCCAACTAGGAAGGAAAAAAATACAAATTATGACTCCATAGATTAAAGATTTCTAAAATACAGTTTTGTAAAACCAAACTGCAAATTATCTTTCAAGCCAATCTGCAATAATTCGGCTATATATTCAGACCCCTTTGGGAAAGAGAAGCACCATTGTACTAGTTCAAATTCTCTGACTTATTTCAGCAGTAGAAATCTGATTCCCTGGGTACATGACTAAAATCTTGCAAGTAGGCAGGCTTTGGCACTTCTGGCACAGAGGAATTGATACCAGCATATTTGAAAAATTATTGGGACATCATTCCAGAGCCAAAATTGACAAATCTGAGTATTGTTGAAAATACACAACAAAAACTAGACAGCTTGAAAAGGTTTAGGGCCAGAATGATGCCCTATTTCTATGCACAGCTTGAAGGTTCTGCACATGTGACCTTTGCTATCCTATGGAGTTGAACAGGATTCATCTCTCATAGTCATAATTATGATTTATCAGTAGCTCATTGCCTGTCATTTCCTAGACCTCAGAGCTGAATGGGAGTGAGGAAAATCCCAAACACCATCCTTAAATGATACTCCCGTATTCCTCCAAACTTCAGTGTCTCTATGTTGTCTAGCACTTGCTTTGGTTTTGGCAAATTGATATAATCTGTAATTGCTGTTATTGCTATTATAAAATTACTAATTTCCTATAATAAAGAAAAAAAGACCAAGAGGTTAAAGAATCTACTCTTGGACAGGAATGTTTTCTCTGTAGGAATTTTTCTACTTGCAAAATGCAAAAGAATTATTTAGGCAATAAGGCCAAGTAAACATACAGAATGATATGCTGAATGAGAGGAGTAAAAAGAAATGAAAACTGATGCCTCTGGGAAAAATGTAAGTTTCTTTTTTAGGAAATCGGAAAAGAATGATATTACTTTGATAAAAAAATATATGAGGCATAAGGAGGACTTATTTTAAAAACTGACTAGATAATCTGCAATAAAAGTATCAATGTATTTTTATTGAAAAATAAGAATAGGAAATATGTTCTGCATGCTGTCTAAATGCTCATCAAATTCTCTTTCTGAAAACACAGAATGACTCCACATTCTTGAAGCTGGATTGAATTCATGTTTCTTGCTTCTAGCTAATGGAAATGGTTAAAAATAAAATATATACTTTCTAGCCTTGTCCCCTCCCTCTTTGATCCACTTTAGGAACCTTAAGTTTAATGTTAGTATTGCAAGGTGAACCAAGACTGCATTTCTGAGCGCTTGCTTGAAAGTAAACTGTCATAATCAGTTCAAGCTGATCTAACAAAATGCCATACTGAGTCTAAATAACAGTCTATAAACAGTCTAATGCCATAGACTGTTTGTAAGCAACATAGACTGAGTTGCTTATAAACAGAAATTTATTTTTCATAGTTTTTGATACTGGAAGTCTGAGATTAAGATATTAGCATCATAGTTTTAGGAAGTCTTCTTTCAGTTGGAGACTACCAATACCTCTTTTGTATCCTTACATGGTAGAGAAGGAGCATGATCTCTGATCTCTTAAGGGCACTGATCTCATGCCTGAGGTCTCCACTGACATGACCCAATTACCACCCAATGGCCTCACTTCCAGACACCATCACAGTAGTTGATTTATAATAAATTAGTATACTTTGCATTGACTACATTTACCAAGGTATTGTCATCAAAGAAAGGCGCTCAGGGGGAAAAAAGGCCATTTTGAAACCAGAAATAAAATGTAAATTAAGAGCTAGCGTATGGCTCAAGTGGTAGAGCACCTGCCTAGCAAGTGTGACGGCATGAGTTCAAATCCTAGTATTGCCAAAAACAAAAACCCCCCAAAACAAAAAAAAACCTAAGACACAAACAACAATAAAAAACTTGCAAAATTTAAAAAAAAAAAAAAATGTAAATTAAGAGTACTGAAGTTCTGCTTTCCCGACTTGGAAGAAAAACAATTACAACTTAGTACAGGTATCTCCTACCTCTCATGCATATGATTGGAGACCTTCATAGTGTCTTCCAAGTGGGATTTAAGAATGGCAGTTGTCATGTATTCACTGGATATCTTCTATTCTCTTTCTGAATAGGAATTTTTATCATTTCTTTTCCACCATTGGGCATAGCGTGTGTGTGAGTGTGTGTGTGTGTGTTGTATGTATTGCAAGTGTGTTTGTGTTAAAGAATAAATAGCAGTTACATCCTCCTTCCCCTCTGACACAACTAGAGCACATTGTAGATTTATGATAATTGTTAGTAGAGAACTGAATTGTTAGTCTAAACTGCATTCACAGTCAAATCACATCATTAAATTTTATAGAAAACATTGGGCTTGGAATTATGGACCCATATCTATTTTTGTCTTATTCTCCAGGAAAATTAAAAATTGACATTTCATTAGGTTTTTAAGTGTTTTGAATTAAACTGTAAAAATTAACTTCTTCCTCCTCATTAAAGCACTGAGATGAGATCAAAACATTTATAAAAGCCTGCTTTCCCAGCAAATAAGGTCTCTTGCAAGAAAGAAATTTAGAACAAACTCATTTTCTGACTTAGAACTGAATTTTATAACAAGGTATCACTCTTCAAAAACCAGAAATGATTTTATGCTAACACTATATTTATTTCTTTGGCAATGTCAGAGACTTTCCTTGAGCATATTACAATATGACTCAGTATTCATAGCAATGACAGTTGAAGTCAAAGTTTTCCTTCACATTTTCTCTAATTTTTTCAAGTTCTAAGATATTTGCCACCAAACACATTTAAAGGTTTTCTAGGATGAATCAACAAACACAAACTGTGAACCTACAATATAAGGCACTATGCTAAAAGCTCACAGGAAACAAAGAGCTGTAAGTCAGCAAATTCACAAACCAGCTACCACTGTAGAATTTTTTAGTTTAATTAAAGATAAAATAACAAAACAAGCTAATGCACTGGAAGTGTAAATGAGAGCTAATAATAAAAAAACTGAGCTTGCATCATTTTTAAAGTTTCTTTACTTGCATATATATTTTAGCATCTTCATTAAAACTATACAACGTAGACTTACTACTCGGTCCTCCTCTTTTTACAGATTTATCTCTATTTTAATTCTATATAGGAGTGTTTACTTATTGTCTTGGTTCAGGGAGAAAAATTAAACTGACTTTATTTGTTAATTACTTGAGTGAAAAGTTTGGAGACAGACTTTCCTTTCCATACACTTAGGGAGTTCAAAGTTCAC